GATTTAGAATAAAAAACAAAAGAGAAGCTATAAGATTCTTTTGTTCAATGTATACCAAACACATACTAAATATTTTGAAATGTCTGCAGACAGTTAACTTTTTGCTTATGGTGTCTGCAATGGAAGTTAATGCTCAGAATCTTCGTGGGATGACAGCAATGGATGTTCTGATTCATAGTCGAAGAGATGTGAGGGATGATGAAATTGAAGAAACTTTGAAACGTGTTGGAGCCTTTGGATCAACGGAAAAAAATTCATTAGTCCAAATTAATCGTAATAAAAGTAGTCCATGCTTGAATTTGTCCTTTGATCACTTTGATTTTTCCTCAAATGTGAAGGAGAACCGTAGGAAAAAGATGTTTAAACAGAAAGGCGATTGGTTGGAGAAAAAACGAAGTGCATTAATGGTGGTGCCTTCTTTAATTGCAACCATGGCATTTCAAGTCGGAGTCAAGCCTCCAAGCGGACTATTGCAAGTTAATGAAACTGTTAACTCACAAAGTAATCTTGCATTAATATCTCAATTTTACAAGGTATTAGAATTTATTTTCGTCCATAATCATCAGAAATTATATGGACCATTCTTGATTGCTAATACAACAGCACTCATCGCGTCACTCAGTATCATATTATTGTTGATGAGTGGTTTACCATTAAAGAGGAGAATAGTTATGGGGATTTTGATGGTGATCACTTGGATTGCAATTACAGCAGTTGCATTGATTTATCTCATATCAATAATTGTAGTAACACCAGAGGAAGAAAGACAAACACAATCATCTGTTCTTGCAGTTGGGTTTGCAGTTGTTACATGGGTTGGCCTCATTGTTCTCCTACTGATTGGACACATGATTCGGTTGATAATCAAGATGATTAGGTTGATAATCAAGATGGTACGAAAGTCAATAAAATGTTTGAGCCCGAAAGAAACGATTTGAGGTTTGGGAATTCCAAGTCAAGGAGTTGTTTAAGGGGTTGTTATTCTATGTCTACTAAGTTGGAGAGGACAATATTGAACAGTAATAAGATTGAATCTGTTTACTCTAGTGTCTAGTTATGTTCAGTACTATAAAGAAAACATGCGTTAATCATTTGCATTATAAATATTTAATGTATGACTATGTTGTAATTTCATTTCAGTTATTGCATATCACATAAGGTCTATGTAATATACAAATATAATCTTATTTTAATCCATCAGTAGTATATAATTTCTCTTCATAGACCATATTTTATTTATTCTAACATGTATTCAACCATCTCGTTTAAAAACTTTAGCTACTAAAGAAGGATCATACATGGTTATTTAATCAACTCTCCTTTAATACATGGACGACATCAACATTTGATCTTAGGTTGTTACCATATCAAATCGATTCTCCAAGTTTAGAGGAAATAGTGAACATGTAAAGGTTGGATTATGTGAAATTAATAAATGGACAGAATCTGCCTTTAAATTTTATTGCTGCCTGGTTTAGTTTCATTC